GGGAATGAAAAATGAGAACGAAAGGATAGAGATGATTAAGAAAAAGAAGAGGAGAACAATTTCCCAGAAAAAGGGAAGCATTTTTGGAACATGAACTTCTAATAAAGAAACTCTCGAAGTGATTCGATTACATCTTATTCCATGCACGCGTACGTATTACATTATACGAGTGGTATAGGCGCACGTGCGCTCAGACCCCTCGGTGCGAACTTGCACAACGCGAAACGTGAACTTATCCTCCTAGTTTCGTTTATTTTTTGTTCTTTTTCTCTCGTTTCCTTTTTACAAAGTTTCCCGATTGGTTCAAAATAAAAAAATTCGATTTTACGTACAAATTTTGGTTTTCTTCATTGGAAAATAATTAAATTTAATTTAAATATCGTTTTCTTTAGCCAAATCAGAATTAGATCAGTTTCATAGATATCTTCCTTATTTTTGTTTTGTTTGTATATTCGTATATTTTGGTTGTTGTTGTTATACTTCTCTTTATCGTCTTCCTGTTTATCTAGGAAATCCCTCAGGAACATTTTCACATAAAACTTTCTTCCCTGGTTTAGACCGCATCTAACTATCATGTCCCTTTGAACTTTTTTAATCTTTCCCTTGCTCGTGCGCGCGAGAGACAAGCAAATGTATCTCAAATATGCGTTTTCCATTACAGACTCGAGAAATGTTTCCTCGACAACGAGCGAGTCACGTCTACAATAAATTATTTTTAACTGGTGTTCACACACTCGCGATATTCAAGAAAACGCGACTCGTTTATGGAGATGCGTTAGGTAAATAAATGCCAAGAAAACATTTCTTGTCGCGACCGTGCACTCCGTATTTGATTTGTATTTTCTGGGGGGGGGGGGTTTCTTCTTCTACCTTTATCTTCTTTCATATTTTTATCTGGATTTTATTCATAATTTTAAATTAACGTAGTCTCATTTCATACATTATTATTATATTTCAATGTTATTTATTAACATCTCGAAAAAGTCTTATTAGATTAATGGATTATTTTCAATAAAAAAATAAAAGAAGAGATATTTTGATAAAATGTTGGAATATATATATATATATTTTATTTGTTTGCACGAATATTACATGCATATTCACAGCTTGAAGCTTATAAATAATAAATAGGCGTTAAAATAGGATGCGTTTAAACAAGAATCGTGAACGAATGAATGAAAAATCAAAAGAAAAATAAAGAAAACATTTGTGCAAATAAAGGAAATAAGAGGACGACTTTGGCGTGGAAAATATTTAAATGTTTCGCGTTTTGTACAATGCGTAAAAAATGCGCCGTCGGAAGCTTTTTGAAAGCAGGAACGCGGAACTTTCCGGATAAATGACAGATTCCATGCAAGAGAAATAGAAGGAATAGGAGAAAAGAGATGGCGGAAGCGTCGACGTAGGAAAGATAACCGCGGGTGAGACGTTTTTCCAATGGGAACCGCCACTCTGTTCGGAGCGCAAACTAGAAGGGTGCTTTTGCCCGTAGGTCTGTTCTGAATTTTCCATAGGAGCCGTTAACGATGAAATACGAGTCTCGTCGTCCAGCCGCGTAGTAAATTTCAAAACGTGTCTTTCCGTCTCTACCTTCTGTCTTCCTCCTTTCTCAATTTTTCTCTTTCCGCTTTTATATTCCGCCATTATCGTAACCTTCCGTGAAAAATTTGTCTTCTTTCCGTGCTATTTAATCTTGGTGAAAGCCTCGCGATATCTTTCCCATTTCAACAAAAACAAAATCATAATTGCAATTAGTTAATCTATACTTAACCGAAAAAATTGTCATAAGTAACGAATTGTTTTTAATAGATTCTCTCCTGATAAATGCAAAACACGTTAAGCTAATTTTTTTTTTCAGAGATTTACAGTCATTTCATTGTTGTTGTTATTTTTTTTATTACTATTGAAATATATCGAAATTGTTTGCTTTTAGCATCACAGTTTTTATTGTCATTGAATTGGACACAGGTCCAAATGGGCAATAGCGTATATAATATAATCGGATTTCTCTTAAATGAAGTCCGATGATGTTATCAGTCGAAACATTGCGCGTTAATGAGGTTCTAAAGGTTTTTTACAGTTTTTTATAACTTTCTATCTGTACCTTTCAGTATTCAATATAAAATCTTGTATTTCGGATATAATGTTGTTAATTCCAACTAATTGGATGCGAATATTCTTTTAATTGCTCATAAGTCAAATTTATCATATTATATAGAATGAGAAACATCTATTAAAATAAATTTTGTTCTATACGAAATAAGTTTAAAAAAGAAAATAATTTTGTTTTTTAATGAAAGAGAGAGAGAGCAAAGAAGTAAGAGAAACAATAAAATCGATAGAATTTCACGATGATACGTAATTAAGCGTCTTACGTCAATTCTAAATGAAATATCGATTTTTAGTGGAAGATTCAGATGATAAGAGAAAATGTAAACTAAATCCTTAGTCGGATTAGCGTGCAACATTCGAAAAACGAGGAAGACCTTATGCTCGAAAGTTTCGATGACAGGATTGGTTCATTGAAGCGTAGAAAAGGTCGAGTTCGGGAAGGAGAGATTGAAGTGGGAAATAAGGATGGCTGGGAAGTCTCGATCGTTAGGAAAGATTAATCCTGACTAAACCATTTCGTTGAGTTCATGGGGAACGTGAACGTATTCTTTCTCACAGGTTTCCGTGTATTCTGGAATAAATCGTGAGTATCGCATCAGTGCCCATGTGCAACTGACAGAAAAATTAAGAAATTGATGCGTTTAGTCGATGAGTAGACGATAAATAATGTTAACTATGATTATGATTTTTTTCAAGATAGTTTGCATTTAAATTCTAAATATGTGATTAACTTGAAAACAAATAAAGAAACCTAAATGTCAGTCGTTTTGTGTTACAGAGAGAGAGAGAGAGACAGAGAGATAGAATGTGCATTTTATTGTATTATAACTTAAAATTAATTGTTCTAATATTTTAATTAAAATTAAAAATACCAATCAAACCTTAGCAAAACACTACTGAATAACAATGAAAAAGGTTAAATTTTCTAATGATGCATTAACACTTTAGAATTGTTCAACATACTTTTCGCAAATCGAGCGTAGATTATGACATTTAGATAGAAAATAAATAAGAATAAACAAAATTGATGGATAAGAAAGAGAAATAATTTAATAGTCACTCGGTCTAATGTTCTTTGCTATCGATGCTTTTCGATGCATCTAATAGCGATATTCGTCTTCTATACTACTCTCTCTCTCTCTCTCTCTCTCTCTCTCTCTCTCTCTCTCTCTCTCTTGCTATCGTCGTTTTCTGAAGGCAAACGCGTAGACCGACGAACCACGCTTTAACTCGCAATCAGTTTAATGGTCGATCGATGGGTAAATTCGTTTAGAAGCTTCCTGAAAGGACTTTGGCTTTCCCTTAGGCAAGAAGAGATGCACCAAGCTCGTGCGTCTCCAAGGAAACGCGAGTCGTTGTATCCGCTTCGATTCTATTAGCAGTAGAGTGTAGTCAGGGCATGTTATGGGTCTCTGTTACTCTTACTTTTGAACTCTGTTACTGTCTCTCTCTCTCTCTCTCTCCTTTTACACTCTCAGGAATCACCCTCCTTCTTGTACCATTCTTGTCCGGTAAACTTTCTTCCTCTGAGCTTTTATCGCCAACGTTGTTCTTGAAACACTATATTTTTTCTTTTCTTTCTTTTGGATCAATAAAAATGGAAACTAGTGTGCACGTAGATACACTAACCTAAATTGAGGTCAAATACAAGAGTAGATATACCTTTACATAGATACATATATCATATAATCGTACATACGATGACGAATGATCAGGAAACAAAGCTCTGATATGCTCGACAACATTCCAATGCAAATTAAACGAAATACTTCGGCTGCTTGCTCGTCGTCGTGGTTTGCTTCGCGTTTAATTCCGAATCTTCGTATTTCTCTATCGAACTTTAGGCCAACTGAAAAGTTTTAACATATCGTCCTTCCAACACGTACCTTTTCAATATTCGATTGATTGTTCAAGTAGTCGATCAGATTTACGTTAACGAGAGCTCTACGTATCGCCCCACTGTTAGAATTTGTTCTTTATATATTTATTCCTTTTTCTATTTCTTCTTTCTGTGTTATCTTATTCTTTTGTTTTATTCTCGTCGATTTACCAAATTCTTAGTTCGTCTTATAGCAAACCTGACTTTGCGAAAGCTCAGCAAGTTAGCAAGTAGTTTCGTTTATTGAGTATTAAACTTTCGTAACGTTCGGCCGAATATGGCTGCTGACTTGATACGATCGCATTCGAAAATTTAAATAGTATTGTGAAAGTCTTTACTCCTCAGTTTTGCGTGCTTGCTAACTCGAAAATCATGATTTTCAAAGAGAAACGTGAAATAGTTTTCTAATTCGATGCGATAAATATAATTTCACACAAGTGTTACTTCAAAAAGATTTTTTTCTTTCTAAAGATCGATCTTTCATCGATCATCCAAATAATTTTGACGTATAAGAGAAAAGTTGAATAAAACTCATGGAAAATCGTGCACGCCATTCTTTCTCATCGGATTACTATTTTACCTAAATTCTTTTTTTTTTTTTTCTTTATCCTTTATAAGAAATCATACTTCCATTATTTTCACTTCACGTAAAGAAGATGTGGAAACAAATTTCACGCCGTACGATAGAATAAAAGTTCGTTTCGAAAGCATTGACGAATGAAGTTTGGATCTCTCTTTGGAATATTTTGGCTTTGTTAATATCTAAAATAAAAAACTTTGGCATAGCTTACAAGTTGACTCACTTTAAACGTGATGTACTTGATTGTTTTGGTAAATATTTTTCATACTAAAAATGAATAGATTTTAATGAAACTTATATTAAATTAAAGTACATTTGTGTAAAGATTGAACTACTCGTGAAAATTTGATGACGCTAAAAAATGAAAATGGAAAACAAGATTATGTTGGTAAGACTAAGAAACTTAGGACTTTGAATATCTCGACTTACCAATAACGGTGAAGTTGACTTTGAAATTTCTCGTAGGAGAGTTTCGAAAGTCGACTCTGCATCTGTATACACCCTCGTCACTCTCACGAATATCTTGAATCGTTAGCTGCGCTGGTGGTGGACTCGCACGAAAAGTCGCCCGATGACCCCAAACATTTGTTGCGCTCCAAAACTTTGCTTTTCCATATTGTCGAATTCTTGCATCGTAACTGTAACGAAGAAAAAGAAAATCCTCGGATTATTGTCGAATTGAATTTGGGAAGTATTGTTGTTAAGTAACTTTGGCGATTTGGAAAATGAAATTTGTTAACGATGCTAACAGGAAAAATGAATGATACGAAATTTTTGGATAGATTTTTATAGAAACTTTGTCGATTCGTCATAAGCTTGGATAAAGGATAAGGAAAGGTTCGGTAGTCTCGTTCGAGTCCTTAGTTCCAAACTCGATACAAACCAAGAAGTGCACTCGACCGAGAGAGTCAGATAACCTCTTACTTCGGACCTAGAAAGATAGTATTAGGGACCGACCAAGAGTCTAGGTTACTATACTCCCAAAGAACTTCCATCCCGTTGTATATCGTCCATGAAATATGACGATAGCTCGTAATCGTCAGAGGGTAAATATCACTCTACTTTTACTTTACGAATCGTTGCTTTTTAATGCTAGTTATACGAGCTGTCATTTCCTACGGAATAAGAATACAAATCGCATAATTGTCTCCTTTCATACTACATTTGACAATCTTCCTATAACATTTTATTCGTTTGTAGTTAACAATCATGTCAAACCGATCGTTTTATCATTAGACAAGAAAAAGAAAAGATCAGTGAATTGTTAATCATCCGATAATACAGATAATAATATAAGATTGTCGTTGTAGAATCAAGTCGTGTATTACGTGGAAAAAAAGAAAAAGAAAATACAATAGAGGGAAAAAAAGCGAAAGAGAGAGAGAGAGAGAGAGAGTAATTTGACAATACCGTTTTCAAGAATTCTTCTAGTCAATCTCGAGAGATGGTTTGCCGTCACGGTGTTAGTAGTACGAGTAATAGTAGTAGTAGTAGTAACAGTAGTCGTTTTAGTTGTTGCTCTTCGTCCTCTTTGTTGCTCCATAATTAGCTTTAATAGAACAAACCTTTCCGTCGTCTTTGCTTACCTACCTCAGGTCCCCTCGATTACCAGCTCAAACAGGATTGGAACGAGTTAGAGAGTCTAATCGAGCGACAAAGTTCGAGGAAGTTTCGTGATAAGCGCTCGATCCCCAAAAACGACGTACACCGCAGACATCTCTTCGAGTTTCGACGATCTCACCGTCTCCTTCTATTAGGTTTATCCGAGACCGTAAGATAGATTGGATCGATTTTAAACGAAGACGATGAAACAGTAGCTTAAGACAGCTTTGGTATGCAAATTTATCACAGTGATTTAATACGCGTCCATCCTTTCCATCGAGTGTGTTATTGACGCGTATACCCTCCCAATAGTTTATTAAGCACCATCATGCTATTACAAAAAACAAAGACCGTTTACTTAATGGATCGAGTTAATAGAAAAATAGATGACTCTCTTTTTTCATTCTATATTGTGTGTAAAAGAACTCGTGGAAAAATTTATTAATGCTATCTAATCTTATTAAAGTCTCGTGTCTACGAGGAGGATTCGATAAATTAAAAAAAAAAAAAGAAAGCCCCCTTTTATACATTTCTATGAAGAAGATCTTTGAACAAAATTTTACATTTTAATTAGAGAAATCTCATTTTATTATAATAAGAATAATAATTTTTTGTTATATTTAATTTCACACGTACGAAAATTGAGAAATTATATTTTGCTTTCGGTCCTATCATTCAATAAAACACATTGATGATATAATGATATTGTTATAATTGATTGTATTATTGGTTAGTTGATTCTATTATATTTTTTACTACCCCCTTGTTTACTGCGCGATGAAGTAAGAAACATCCCTTGTGTGTCATTTAATCCATTATTGTGGTCATATGTTATCGCAAGCCCATTCTCTTTCCACAATAGCAGAATGTTGTTCGTTGTTGTGCTAAAATCGTTCTTTCAGTCCTTCGAATCCTTTTTGCGCTAGTTGATAAGAGTCTGTTAGATTTTCCTTCTTGTCATCGAAGGAAAGCTTGACCATATATCTTTCCTGCGATTCATGCGTGACATGTTCCTGAAAGTGTCTCTTGCAGGCCATCGCTTTTTCGGATAATGGTCGCGTACGTGTCATAAATTCGATCTCTCAAAATTTGGCAAGTTGCTTGTCAAATAGAGGGGAAAGGGATTGCAAACGATGGTTTCCTATCTGTCAGTTTCTTGCACTCTTCCGGTGACGACCTATCCCACTTAAGTTTTTGCTAAATTGTCTGTACATTACAAAATTTAACTGCCCGATGCATTAGTCTATAAAATATTACTATGATTAAAAGAATTTAAGATCAGATCTAATTTTATCTGACTTATAATTTATTAGAAATTTAATTAGTTTTTATGAAATAATAACACTGATTAAATTTCTCATATACGTATTTTTATTCAATATTTAAACACATTAGTAGAAGAATTTGTATTGTAATGATATTTAATTGCTTATAAAATTTCTTTTATTGTAAAATTAATCTAAAATTCAAAGTTTAATTATGCAACACAGCCCAATGATCTCTCTCTCTCTCTCTCTCTCTCTCTCTCTCTCTCTCTCTCTCTCTCTCTCTCTCTCTCTCTATCTCTCTGACACGAATTATAAATAATACGATTTAAACTTATTCGTTTAAGTTTGGCCACAAATTCAGTTATCACGAATATGACTAATCAATGATGCAAACAGGAGAAACACTACTATTTATTTAAGCTTATGCGAATCCTAGTTATTATGGTTTCTCTTTGTTTCTGTTATAAGTGCGTATAAATTAGTTTGATGTGTCTGTTCGTAAACTGTGATAGTTTCTTCCTTCGTTATCCCTCAATGTATTTTGTATCCCTCTTGTATTTGATTATAGCTGGTTCGCTGCTCATGTTTATGATCCCGACTGGAAGATTATTCTCTCTGATTCACTGTTCGCTCTGATAACTCATCTAAATTTTATATTGATCGCGATGAAACCGTATACAGTTTAAATGGCCTTGAATGTAATATTAGCACAGGAAGACTTGTGGAAGAATCAATTAATGTTCCATCAAAATAAATATTAATTGAACCTTTGTTACGTAACCTAATTGTTACGTAAAAACGCAACGAAAGGAATAAAACGAATAACATATTTTCCGATACTGTTTCGGACCGTGAGAATCGTACTCGAAAATGCAAAATAAATATCATAGCACAGTTTTGAAGGCCATAAAACTGGTAAACAAATCCAGATATCATTCGAGAGGTATCGGTGCGATGAAACCTTCGGAAGATAGATCCTTCAAGTGGTGTCGATTTGCTGAGTAAACACATGTGTTCCTATAAAAAGAAACGAATACCTTTTTCTTAAATAAGTTTCTCCCGTTGCATACTTTCCACTATCACATTCACTAAAAAACGTTAGCCTTCTGCATTGATGGTCTACGGAGGGGGGGGGTGGACTTTACTGCTATTGAACAATCAGTTTAGGGAACGGATGACGATCATTTTCTTCCTATAAAAACCCTCAAAACAATAGCATAAACATTCATTCAATTTTCATCATTCGATTGCATCGAAATTGCATCAGCTGTATGCATGACGCAGTAGAACTAGTACTAAGAAAGAAAACGCAAGCATCGTAGCAGTAAATCACATAGCTGCAAGCAACAAATTCATCAAGCGGCGTTAAACAATTCACAACGCAACAACAATCGATATCACAGCTACAACGGCATTTTTAATGATAAATAAATAACGTAGGCAACGATCAATGCAACACCTAGTCATTGAGAAAAATCTCTGTTACACGAACATACAACCATATCAATTAATTTCAAATTAATCAAATTTTTGTACAAGTTAAAACGGATGTTGATTCAATTTCACGAAAAAAAATATGATTGCATCTTTTAACACAGTAATTCGAATCTTTTGAACAACGTTATTTCTATTTTCTTGCTATATATTATTTTTGTGTTAAAGCTAAATTAAAACATTTTCGATCGTAATTCTGATCGTGTTCTCATTTTCAAAGTTTTATTTGCAGAGTTAACTGCTATATTTGCATAGTTATCCCTAAGGATTTGTGCGCGTTCTAAGGCTGTCGCTCATTGAGTTAATTCAAAGAGTTAACCATACTGACCCGTATGGAGCAATGGTTAATAGAAGCATCGAAACTGAATAGTTAATGTTGTTGTCAAAGGGGAAGTTGGAGGAGGAAACGCAATATATAGCGTGGTCGATAACAGAAATTTACATGGTCATGGTCTACTGGTTTCCATCAAGATTACATATTAATAATATCGTCTAATTGATTTGTTTTTTTCTACACGTTTTCCATTTGACGTTAACATAAATGAACTTTTCGAATGACAAACATCGAAAAAAAGATAACGCGAGAGAGAGAGAGAGAGAGAGAGAGAGAGAGAGAGAGAAAGTGAAGCTTTTAAAAAGAGTAAAGATGTTACTCGTTGAGGATTCGCAGAGAAACATTCGTTTTAAGGCGTGAAAAAAAAAGCAAAAAGAAAAAAATAAGATAAAGATGAAGCAAAAAAAAAGAAGAAGAAGAAGAAGAGGTAAAGCGAGGTAAGATGTAAGAGAAGGAAAAAGAAAGAAAGAGAAGAAAGAGAACGAGAAAGGTGTAAGAAGTGAAAGCAGAGAAGGCAGATGGCCTCTAAACAAATTAAAATAATTGCTGGCGCCTTCCGAAAGCGGTCCTCCTGTCTTCTACGAGCTAAAAGAAGGTAGTCCCATGAATACGGTAGTGTCAGTAGAACGAATGTTTCATGGCCGAGCGAGAGGGGCAGGGGTAAGGGGGAGAGGGAGAGGGTAGGAGGATTTAACCACTCTCGGGACTCTTAAAAGGAGCTTAACTTCGCGCATAAAATTAAAGCATTGTAATTGCAGACGGCGTCGCCACTGCGGCACTGTATTTTCTTTCTTCTTCTTTTTTTTCTACCCTTTTCCTATCTTTTTTCCTTCCTTTTTCTTTTTAGGCTTTCTCTTTCTTTATTTTTTTTATTTCTTACTTACTTACTTACTTTCTCTCTCTCTCTCTCTCTCTCTCTCTCTCTCTCTCTCTCTCTCTC